ATTTTCAGTGCAGAAAAAGGAATAGGAAAATGAAGATCCATTAAGGCAGGGATTTTCTGGTTTTCTTCTACTGTGTTCCAGTGTTTAGAACACAGCCCAGCACAGAATAGTGTTCAGTAAATATTTGTTGAGTGAGTAAATTAGGCCTCAGTGGGTCTGATTTCCTTGAGCCTTGAGTGCACATGAAGTCTGTGTGCTGGGGGCCCCAGTGCAAGGGGGCATTCGTTCCCTTGGCTCATCCCTGTCAAGCAAAGGCAGTGTTATTCTTCTGGAAAAACAGCCCCTTGTATCTGTCCTGTTGTCCCATTAGATGGTAGGTTTCTTGAATGTTGGGACCTTTGGGACCATGGTCCACAGGGACCCTTGCAGTGCAGACTGCGTTCGGTTTTTTGTTTGGCCACAGTTGGCTAGAGAAAGAGATCAATACCCAGGAGTTATTGCCAGGTCATGGTTTTTCACCTTTGCCTGCTGTGGTTTCAGACTAATACTAAACAAGACCAGAGGATAGTTGAGACTTACTCTGTATAATCAAGAGTGTTTTGCATGTTTTCCACCCAGCAAATTAAATTCTTTGTTTGCCTAATGAACATTATCTCGTGACTCCCTTTTCTAAAATGACTCCTCCCTTTCTAAAATGACTAATAATCTGAAAAATCTGAATAAGTGTGTAATTGATGTCTGTGTTTATTAGTGGCCTAAGAGGAAATGATTTCCTGTTGTCTTATGTTTTTGGTTGGATTTATGAGGTAATCACTTCCACTGTTTAGGCATATGGGGAGCTCCTGCCTCTAACCCAGAGCCATGGCCTGGGTCTTTGGCCTAGACTTTCAACTGGATGTGGGCAAGACCATTCTCTGGTTGCTTGATCTCTGTGTCCCTTTTCCTAGCCAGGGTTCTTGATTCCTGCTGCCCTAGTGCTCTAATTTCAGCTCTAGCTTGCCTTCCTAGACATATGCCATTTGCTCCTTTTTGCTTTATCTGGTTATCCTGGACTGACCCCTTGCCTGCCTGAGACCATTGCTCCTGCTTCCTTCCTTATCAGTGGCTCTCAGTTTGATATTTGGCTTCCCCAGCTCTGAGAACCACCTGGCCTTTCAACATGCAAATCAGAGCATATGATCTATTTTTATGCCTGTTTTTCACAAGGTTTGTGGATTTCAAGAAAACTCCCTCATTCAGGGAGTTACATCAAATATCAAATATTTATAGGAAACTAAACCTTTAAGCTCTTTCTATTTTAATCTTTTGTGATATCTAAAACATTTTACAGCAGCACATTAATTATTTGATAACTTGAGTCCATACTGGTGTGCCAGAGGCATGGATAAGTGAACTCTTTACCTTTTTATCATGTGGGAGAGTATAAACTTAGGACCCAAAAGAGTGTGTTTACTGGCAACTTTCCAGTTTCCTCTAAAAGGATCTAAGACAATATATTTATTTTTGTGGAGTATTAATTCATTTACCATTCACCCAGCAAATACTTAAAGAGTGCTTACTATGTGTCAGACACTGTTCCAGGCCCATATGCCAAGTAGTGATCAAAAGCAACCAAAACTCTCCCCTTCTTAGAGCTTGCATTCAAATAGATAGGATAGAAATTTAAGCAAATGAACACAAAAGTCCTATTTTATCTCTGCCAGAATTTGCAGTGATGTATTTATTATTGGGTTGGATGGAATGGTCCTGCTAAAATTGAATACAAAATTTTGTGAGTATATACATGATGGTGGAGGTGGGGAGAGGCATTGGCAGGAGAGTAAAGATCTTTAACTTTCATCAGTTCCTTAAAGGAATCTAAGACTTATTCCCCTCAAAAAATGAAGAACCCGTACTAAATTGCGAATTCCTTAAGTACAGACAACTATGTATTTTTTTTTTCTTAATTTCTTTAAAAACATATGATTGTTTAAAGCAGAAGTGAATCGTAATGTATGCAATCTTTTGTGTCTGGCTTCTTTCTGTCAACATGTTTTTAAAATTTAAGCCTTAAATATTCCATATGAATTTGAGTATTGATACTTACATTACAACAGAACACCCTGTTAAGATTTTTTTTTTAATATTTAAGATGTGTTTATTTCAATATCTTCATTCCCCACTGTAATATATTTGAGTCTCCATTCAATATTTGAGTTTTGTAGATGGATACTCTTAATTTAGGTAACTATATAACTACCCTTAAGACTTGTAGACCTCAGTGGAACCTTAAAAACTCTGTAAACAGATAAATTTTACCTCTAAACTGCAAGTATTCGAAGGTTAAATGAAACAAGTGAGAGACCACCATTTTTTATTTACATCAGTTCGATTTATATATATTTGAGTCTTGTTCTAATGACTGACTATTTTTCAGTATGAAAACCAAATTTAAAATAACTTGATCACCTTGCTTTAAAATTTTCATCAACCTTGTTAAGATTGTATTTTGAATTATATTAAATTTATATATCAATGTGAAAATTGGTATCTTAACAATTTTGCATCTTCTTATTTATAGATATATCTTTATTTCTAAGGTTGGCTTTTTTTAAAATATCCCTTTTTATACTTTTTAAGTTTTTTATATCAAGACCCTTCATATTTTTAATTGGACTTATTCCAAAGGTCTTATAGTTTTTGTTGCTGTTATCTGCTGACAGTTAATTGTTTTTCCTTCCTAGGTAGTTTGTATTTTATCTTTGGTTGCTTTTAAGGATTTCTTTCTTTTGTTTCGCTACAGGAGATCTAGATGTAAATCTCATTTAATTATTTTTCTTGGGACTCTAACATTGTCAGTCTGAGGATTTATATTCTTTTTTAATTCTAGAAAACTCTCAGCCATTATCTCTTTAAATATATTCCTCCACTTCCCCATATTTCCTCTAAGAAAGTCTTCTGGTACCCCGGTGAGATATTTGTTGAGGGCCTCACTGATCTGTATGAATCCACCTGTGTAGAGCCCCCACCACCCCTTTGTGCCCGCTCTACACACTCAGACCCTCTTTGGTTCCTGCCCAGCAGAGCTTCTACCTTGTTGCTGTGAAAGAGAGAGAGAGTAGACACGTGGCTGGGCGTGGGGAGGAATTGGGGTGCTTCTTACACAGACTGAAGCAATCTTCTCTTTCACTCCTACCTTCCACAGTACCTGGTGCCTCTAGTCCTGAGCCTGTCTGGATTCCACTGGATCCTCTGCAGGCATTGGGATTTACCCTTCTCATATGCTAAGTGATTTATAATTACTCAATTTGCTTTCCATTTTGTTCGTGTGGTTCAGGTACAGATGCTTTCTGGTTTCACTGAACATGGAGCTTGTTTCTGTTACCATTTTCTTGGTTGTTCTGTACTATTTTTGAGAGAAGGGGTACAGAAATTATTTGAAACCAGAAGCCCACCATTTATTCTTCAGCCTGCTGCAGTCTGTCTTGCTCCTGCCACTGCACCAAAACTGTTCTTATGAGGGCATCGGTGGCCTCCATGTGCCACATCCAGTGGTCATTTCTATCTCCCTTACTTAACTGTCAGCTGCATTAGACATAGCTGACCGTTTCCATCTCAAAACACTCTTTTCTTAGCTTCAGTGATACTAAACTCTCCTAGTTTCCCTTCTGTTCACTGGCAGCCCCTCCTCAGATTTCTTTCCTGGTATCTTCTACCCTGTCCATCCCCAAAGTATCAGTGTACTCCTGGCTTCAATCCTTAGTCCCTTCTGTTATATACCTCCCAACCCCATAGTATCTCATCTAGTCCCATTGCTTTAAATGCCATATACTCTCCACCGGCTCCCAAATCCTTGTCTCTGCCTAACTTTTCCCTTGAGTTTCAGGTTTGTATATCCAACTGCCCACTTGATAGCTCTACTGAGATGTCTAACAGATACTCCTGAGCTTATTTGCTGTTTTCTGTGCCTGGAATGTTCTTCTCCCACTTCTTCAAGTCACTGGCAGCCGTCATCCTTAAGATCTTTCCTCAACTGTCACTTCCTCCAAGGGCTTCCCTGACCACCTAACCTAAAGTATGTTCCTGCTCCAAGCCACTTTATTTCCATCATAGGAGTCATCTGAAATGTTTTATGTGTTCACTTGTATACTATCTGTTTTCCATATTAGCCACTATTACTCCTATAAAAGTGGGACAATTCTAACTTGTCCTCTGCTGTATTCTGAGCACCCGGAACAGTGCCTGGTATATAGCAGATGCTCAATAAATCCTTGCCTAATTAACTAATTTAAATTTTATTAATAAAACATTAGACAGAAAATTGTCATATGCTATAATTTGGTATGAATAACCTCTTATCCTAAGAGTCAAATTCACAAAATTAAAGATTTTTTTACAAAGGAATAGCCGTAGTCATTTTTACCTAGGAAACCTTAGGTAGTCTTGAGACTTCTTTTATCACATAGATGATCTTAAAGATGTAAAATAGATTTGTTTGCAAAGAGAACTGTTAATTGCCAACTAATATCAATGAGGAATTAAAAATCTAGAAAAATCAATACTTGAAAAATTGATTAAAGCACTATGTAAATAAAAGTTGAGATTTTAGATTGTCTTTATTTTCTGATAAATTTATTAAGTGCCTGGGTCAGATGATTGAACATCAAAGTTGTCTTCTGCTAGTATCTCTGTGATGGCCATCTGCCAATAAGAGTAACCACAGAGTTAGTACAGTGGGAAAGTGTTTTGTGTGTGTGTTTTTGTTAATTGAGTGGTTTTGATAATCAGATCTTTTATGGCTTTTTTTTAAAAATGAAGACATTGTGTTTTAAATATTTTACCACTACTTTGAGTGTTAAATGGCTAGGATTTTGCTGTCTTCTAATTTAATAAAAACAGTTTTTGCTGATTTGTTCTTCTTAGTATTCTCCAACTTGGTAGGAGTTTTTGCTTATCACCTAACACTGCTGAAACTAAGAAAAATACCATCTCAAATGTTTTATGGTGATTGATTTCTGTGTTAAATATGTTCTTTAAAATTTTATTACACTTAAACAATCTAGTTGGACTTTTTCTTTTAGATTTCTGGCATGTGCTATGACAGCAAAATGTTCGAAGTTCATCAGGTGCTCTGCATCCCCAGCTGTGTGGCAAAGTTTTTTTCTTGGACACTTGAGCCCATCTTCTCATCTTCAGAACCTACCAGCGAGGTCAGAATTGGCATGGGAGCCACAGTGGACATCCAGAGACAGCAGAGAATGGAGCTGTTAGATCGGCAGCTGATGCTCTCTCAGTTTGCTCAAGGGAGGAGACAGCGACAGCAGCAGGTAAAAAATAATAACCAAAAATTTAGGAATACTCTGTGGCCTAAGTAAACTTTTTCCTCTGTGATTGTGTATATGGTAGAGACCACATTTTACTTCTGTGCATTAAGGATTTTGATGTGTTTCCAAATAGAATGTAGGTCTCAGTTAGTGGCTATTCTTAGTTTTTTAAAAAGTAAAAAAATAGTCTGCAGTTGGAAGATTGGTCAAACTGGTCATTCTTGTTCCATTTATATTAAATAAGCACTATTTCTTAGAGAAACACCAACCTAGTTAACAAGATGTGTTGTTTATCTGTTTCTATAATCTTGTAAAAGCCACAGTGTCTTCCTGTGAAAAATGCTAATCATGTGCTGTGGAATGAAGAACAAATGTAAAACCTCTTGATTTTCTTTGGTTGAAATGAAAAGAATATGAAGGTAAGAAAATTTCCAAGGGAACAACCAATGAATGAATCAAAGAAATGCTGTTTTCTTAACCTCGTCATCAATAATCAGGAACGATTGTGCATTTATCTGCAAATACTGCTGCATCCAAACAATGTGACACACTTGTCTTTCAGGGAAGGCAGGGGAAGGAGGGTTGCTATATACCAGGCTAAAACCTCCAGCCTGATCGTCCTCGGACACTTCCATGGTCCAGCACACTAGACTCTTCATTTCTTGTCTCTATCGTCTTTACCCTCTGGGATAGTGAGAGATAGTTGTGTCCTGTCTTCTGTCTCTCTGTCTCCTGCCAACACTGGGTGTGAGAGGTAGGTCTGTAGGTTTCACTGTGGTCTGGAGAGGTGATGTCCTTTGAGTCCCATTGGAGATGCAGGTCTTAGTATTTATGTCTGGGGTGGATGGAAGGGGTCCCCTTTTAAGGGACCAAGTCTACAGGAGAAAGAGAGAAGCAAAAGTTGCTTCCTGCAGATGTATTTTAATTTGAGGTGACTCTGGAACATATCATAAAGATGCTCATGATGTGTACATAAAGATGGAAGACAGATGTCTCTCTTTTGGATAAGTCAAGCTGGAGGTGTAGATGATGAAGTCAGTTTTGTAGGGATGAGAGCTGAAAGCAGGAAACTAGATGAGTTCTGCAAGAGAAGAACTACATCCAGGATGAACAGAGGCTATAGACAAAGCCTTGTATTTAGCAGGAGAAGGAGGTAGGTCCTGCAAGTGAGGGAAGAATGAACAGTAGCATTCAGAATGATCAGTGTTGAAAAACCTGAGTAGTGGTGAGTATAAATATTTTCCAGAAGAGCAGATTTGGGGGAAATATGTTGTCTGAGGTACCTTTGGGATCCTTGGGAGGAGATTCACCATTAGATGGCTATGGATCTTGTGCTCATGAGCAAATCAGAGAAGTTGTATTTCTCAGGTTGGATTCCTCAGGAAGATGTTTGTGTGTGAAGTTTATTGGAAGACACCGTCAGCATCAGCATCTTTGGGAGACGTCTGGCGGAGGAAGCAAGGTTGGACAGGGGAGAAGTTGAACTGCAGTTACAACGAAAGCCTCAACTAACGTGTGGAGAGCTGTGGAACTGGGAGAGCCCTTCTGAGGTGGAGGCCTCCCCACCCAGTCATAGAATGCAGAGTGCAGGGCTTGGGTAGGTGGGCTCTCCTCGATGCACGCCATCCACGGAGAGAGTCTCAGCCGAAGACTCTCAGATGCCAACAAGCACAGCGACTGGAAGACTGGGCTCTTCAGTCCCGAGGAGGTAGGGGGATCTGGGCAGCCTTACAGCATCCACTATGGTATGTCCCCTGTGCTGCTTGGATCTTTTTGTTAAGTTCTTAGAGCAACTCCTCGAGGATTCCAGTGGGAATCTTTTCCTGCAGAAATGTGCAAGAGAAAGGTGAGCAGGATAAACTGCATCCCCTTCTGCTGAAGCTGGTCTCAGGACCACACTGATAATCATCTTCTCCCCCTCTACTGTTCGTTCTAGAGTCCCCTCGCCCTTGGCTGGAAGGCTCACTTGGTAAAGTGACACAGATCATCCTGGCTGTGTGGTCTCAGTCCTTGCTCTCCATGCCCTTCTCAGGCTTGTCTGCTGCATTTGTCCATTTACTGTAAAAACTGGGCAAGGGAGCACCAAGAGATGCCCTAGTGGATCTCCTGGGTGCCATACATATTCTTTCCTGCCTCTTTTATGTGCCAGTATCTGTATCTTTTTCTGATGACCAGGGTTAGTTACTCCTGCCAGATCATGACTCCTTTCCTTCCCTGCTTGTCTTCTGGCACAAAAATCCCTCAGTGACCAGGACACAGCTGTAACCTGAAATGTATTGGGATTCTTGCTATGTCCCCTGGTGGAAATATTCCCCTCCTGTGACCTGCACTGTCTAAACCCATGGAACCTAGAGTTGCAGGGACAGGAATCCCAGATTCTCCAGGTAGATCACTGAGAGGGAGGGGAATTAGGACCACTTCTTCCACCCCTTATTTTCAAGGTGCCTGTGTTCTACTTGTGGGGACACAAAACCCTTACAGTGATCCTTGAATTGCAGTTTAAAGTGTCCTAGACCATGGAGTTATCCTTGCAGGGTATTGTCTCCAAGCTGGCATTTCACTCATACCTTCAACTGGCTGTGGTCTGGCAAGATGGCAGCCCCTGGGTTGTGTGGTATGTGAGAGGGTCAGTGTATCCCACAGTCTTGCAACTGCTGCTCTCACTTTGCTCTAAGTGGGTCTTTTGGTCTGACATGATGTTATTTTGAGGACCCTGGTCAGTAGATCAAGCACTCTGTAAGCCCTCAAATGGTGCTGGCTGACAGAAAAGGCAGAGAGACCTATACTCAGAGTGTGTGCCAGTTCCAGTTAAGGTGAACTGCTGCCTGGATTTGGTTCCTAGGGATGCCATAACAAAGTACCACAGGCTAAGTGGCTTAAACAACAGAAATTTATTTTCTCACAGTTTTGAAGACTGGAAGTCGAAGATCAGGATACCAGCAGGGTTGGTTTCTGTTGGGGACTCTCTCCTTGGCTTGTGGATGGCCGTTTTCTTACTGCGTCCTCACATGGCCTTTCCTCTGAGTGTGTGTGCTCCTGGTGTCTCTTCCTCTTATAAGGACACCAGTCCTGTTTGATTAGGGCCCATCTTTATGACCTCATATGACCCAGTATAGTGTACTGGGCACCAAGAGACTGTTCTTGAGGATGCTGGTGTGTCAGGCTCAGCGTAGTCTCTGTTGATGGCAGATTAGATATTCCGCAGGGGCAGGAGCTAGATCAGCCTGGGTGAGTCATGCCCTTGCTACCATGGCTACTCTGTTCATGTGCCAACACTGGGATGGCCGGTAATAAAGTCGCTGAGTCATTTGATCCAGCTTCTGTTCAGTGCCTTTTCTGTGGCAGATGTCTGTGGTAGGCGTTAACCTGCCAGACAGTTTGTGCCTGTTCCTTTAGCTGTACCCACATGCCTCTTCCTCAGGTCTCCTTGTCTTCTACCTTCCAGTCACCTAACCAACCAACCAAGTCATTTGCCATGCCCCGTGAATCCATTCATGTTATTACCTCAGGCCACTTCTGTTTCCACACTAGATGGGTGACCGAGTGCACTACCTAAGCTCTGCCCATTGAGAGGATTTCTCCTTATTGCTGTCTTTCAGGGTCACCCGAGTACAGCCGTAGTCCAGCCATGGTCTCTTTTCAGCAGTCACTCGTGTCCTGATCCAACCCATTTATGAACCAAATTTGACTATTTCCCACCTCTGTCATTTGGTCATAGGCCCCGTGCCCCCTTCCCTGTGTGGCAGTAGGTGTGAGCTGGGGAGAGGTTTTGGCGCAACAGAGGCGGCTGACATGTGGTCTGGCATACCTGCCTCTGCAGCTCACCTGTGCCTTCCAGCCCTGCTCATGCTGATTCCAGATGCACCATTTCCATCTGAGGATGCATTGCTGTTGGGCCCACATAACCTGATAACTTGGTGGGCCTCCCATTGCTGACCATAAGCTCACTGTATGGCCCATGGGCAGGCACTTTGTGTTCCAGCAGCAGTTGTTTGCAAATGTGTAATTCTCTGCTTTACATGCATGCCCTTGCTCCAGCACTCTACGGACCTGCACTGTGGCTTGCTGTAAACTCCGCAGAGTCTTTACCCACCAGATACTTCAAACACCACAGAATCTGCCAGGTTGCATAGCCCAAGCCTCAGTAAACAAAACAGGCTGATGCCCCTGCCCTCCTGAAGCACACATTCCACCAGGCACCTGGAAAGCCACTGCCTTTGTCAGTGGCTGTGCCCACTGCTGTCAGGATCCTCCACTTACCTGGGTTGGTCTCCCCTATAGGTTTGAAGTTCAGAGCAGGATACGAGTGCTTGGGCTTTTGCTGGAGCCTTTATGTTGAATGGTTTGCTGGATAGCAAAGAGCATACTATTTATTTATCCCTACACTTACTAAGTTCTCTCCTAGTATCCAGACATCTACACATATACCTAAACCTCATTAGCTTAGCCTCCTGCTGAACTTCTTCACTGGCTGTGTTTAATCCTTTGTCTTTAGGTTTTATTCAAGTACTGACGATAAATCACCATACAGAGAGCTCTTCTATTAAACTACCACTGAAGATATCATTTACTGTGTTTGAGTGCATGCATGAGAACTACACATTGGTGCACTTGTATTGGAATGTAATACCAAGGGAAAGGTTTATTTTCATTTATTTTTCAACAAATAAGTACTTAGTACTTATTATATGCTACCTAGACCTTTTTGTTAGGAGCTTAGGTTTGTATCTCTTGCAGAATTACTGTGTTTCACTCTTTATCTGTAAGGCCACCTCCATTTATAGTGGTGGGCATGTACTAAGTACTTTGCCTATACTATCTCATTTTTTCTGGTGTCAGCCTTGAAAAAGACAGGTTTTCTTTCATGACCCCTGAATCTCAGCGGGGTGCCTGCTTGCCCGGGGTCATGCAGCTGCCGATGGGGCATCCGTGACTGAGACCCCAAGGCCTCCCCTCTGCCCTGATCCTGATGTCATGCTACCTCCCAGTACTGAGAGCTCCTT